CCTTGTTGTCTCGGATTCTCCAGCATCTGCAGTTCCTACTATCTCTGATCGAATGGTGAGGCAGTTTTGAGGGGCTGAATGGCCTATTCCTGCTCATTTTTAAAACGTTGTTTATCACTTTCCCGATCGCCCTGTAAGTATTTGCGCACTTCCCTTCTGGATTTTATTGCTGCTGTTTGAAGTGCACAATTTCGGAATAGCTAAACGCCGCTGGGATTAACCTACAATTCCTAAATTACTCTTTGTTTATTTGGATTACGCATCGGAAGGCGTCCTCAGATTTGCTCACTATGATTGTGAAATCCATTTCACTAAAGTTTATTCAGTCATATTAAAATTAAACAGTCGTGATGTAGCTGACAGTGTCAGCTTTGCTGCAGTTTGAATGTATCGAAACATAAGCATTTACTGCACGAAATGAGTGCATTTTGCCCATTGTACCAATAGTTAAGTTCAATGATTGTCCTTTTTATGTTCTTCAGTTCAATTCCAATGGCCTCCGCATTTTACTTATAATACCCTCTTCACCCTTGTGCTTATATCTTCTAATATTATAATCTCTCCCTCCACCGCTTTTTCCTCCCTCTTCCATCTGAAAACCCTGTTACCAGGAATTTAGAGCTGCCATTCCTGCCCTCCTTTAAAACATGTTTCTGTATGCTCTGTGAGCTATGATTTTGTGCTTTTGAGTGTTTAACTGTGTGTTGAGCTCATCTCCCTAATTTTGTTCACTCCCTGCATTGATGTGTACACTGTCAATCATTGAAACACTTTGTCGTGTATTTTAGACCAGAAGATTGAAGAGCAGAATTAGGCCAATCAGCTCTTTGAGTTTGCTCTGTCATTCAATCATGGCTGATATGTATCACTCTCCTGCCTTCTCCCCATAACCCTTGATCCCCTTACTATTCATGAACTTGTACCTCTGTCTTAAATGTGCTCAATGACTTGGTCTCCATGCTTTCTGCGACAATGAGTTACATTGAGTCACTATCCTTGGGCTTGCCTTCTCTTTTCTCTACCTTCTGCGCTCAGTTATTACTTTTCTACATTCCGTTTCCAGCTTTACCCCTCTGTTTTCTGAGTTTATGTTATCAAGTTTAAACTCTACAAAAGTGGCAGTAAACCTCCAATGAAAACATTCCTGATTCACTTCCTGGTAGAATGCTGCTGAATTGATACTGAACATTTCCATTGCCCCTTATCCTTCTTGTAAGATTATGACCAGTGTCATACTTGACTGAATCCCAGAATAGTTTGTATAAAATGCAGTGTTGCTCTCAAAAGCTGAAAAATCACTGAAAGTTGGGAGAAGGGAATAAACACTGATGTAAACTAATTAATCAGTTTAATTTTCAGCTTGAGTGAGTGGGAAAAAATTCTGGCCAAGTTAAGCAGCAAAGCTTTTTTTTAGACTTATGGATGGTCAGTAGTGACCACTTGCTGAAATTAGTAGCCTTGTTTACTATTTTTTGTGGTATCTTCTTGCTGACGTCAGTACAATCATCTAGTTTGCGGTACAGATTTTAGGATTGTAAACAAGACCTCAACATTAAGATGATGTTCTCTCTTTGCAGACATCATGTGGCCTTTTCTGTGGGTTGCCATCCGTACATATGCACCCTATGTAACCTTTCCCGTGGCCTTTGTAGTTGGGGCAGTGGGATACAACTTAGAGTGGTTTTTTCGTGGAGAGCAAAAGCAACCAGTTGAAGAGAAAAGCATTTTTGAATTGCGTGAAGAGAGAAAACTTGCTGAGATCACAGATAAGGATTGTACCAAAGTGCTAAGCCTAAAGGACAAACTTGAGTTCACGCCAAGGGCAGTACTAAACAGGAATCGACCGGACAAGGCCAGTAATAGCTAGCCCACAAAAAGAAACGGTGCATTGGAGCAACAAGCTGTCTTCCAGATGCAGTTTGTGGATGCCCAATGATACGATGTGTGTAGGAGTTCAAATGCTCACTTGATTAACTGTTTTTCCAATTTAAGAGGAAAATTGAAATGGAGCTTTTCTTGCAGATCTGCTGTGAAGTGAAAACTGTAAATTATCAGTTTAAATTGATTCTTCAAGAGTTGAAAGCTCAGAGAGGCTGAATGTGCTTTATCCTGATGAACAATATGTCAGTACAATTTCCATCCCTTACAACCATCACCACTACCACAAACCTGGATCTCTTAACTGGTACATTTTGTCATAATTTAATGAAATGTCAAAATTCTTGATGTATTATGCATTGAATTATAATGTGTTGTGGTTGGAGTAGGTAAAGGTTTCGTTACCATTGAAAATAAAGTTAGTGAAGAATGATTATTTACAGATTGAATATTATTCAGTCTTAAAACCCTTTGCAGAAGTCACCTCAAAATAGACAAGTTTGGGATTCCTTTCATTTGATTATATGTATGAATTTGTCCTTACTGATATAAAAGGCCAGGTTTTGCACAAGTGGGACAATGGTCTCTAATTCACTCCCTGTGTAATATGCGACCGGTCATCTCTCTGCATTCCCCAGTTGATACAAAGCAAGCAACCTTGAAGTCCGAGAACTTCAACTTACCCAAACCCACATTGTCTATTCAAATGCCTCAAACAGTCGCACTTTGTTCAGTTGAATTTAACTGGCGGTGTGAATTTGAAGATTAGGGGAACTACTCCAAAAAATATAATTCTGTAATCGTGGAGTCCTGTTAAATGATCAGATTTCAGCTCAGTGAGGTTCCATAAACAGCAGTGAGATCCATCTCAATGGTGTTGTTGATGGGCTCAGGCTGTGAGAAGAGCTGCCTGTTCTACTTAGGCTTTGGAATCTTTTATATTCATCTGTTTGGTTCATGGCCTTAGTTTAATATCCATATTCAAAAACTTTGTTAAATAGTAGCATGGATAACACTTTATGCTGATACCATCTAAACTACATGTATGGAATTTGGATTTTCTCCCAGAAAACTTGTATGTAAGGTAAGGCTGATGTACTTAATAGCACATGCACACTCCTTCACATCTTGCCCCGTTGGCAAAACGTTCCTCATCCTTTTATCAAGTTCAATGTATTCCATATTTATACCAATGCATTTAATGCTTTCATGGTTTTTCATAAGCCTAACTTGCTATGATAGATATATTATTCATTAAACAAAGCCAAGATATGAGCATCATACTGGGAGAGGATTGCGAAGGAGAGTCATATGCTGCTGAAGTATCTACAAGTTTGTAGATTGATTGCATTGAAGCAGTTTAGTAATTGATTCTCCAAAATAGAACATAGCACATAAATTTATGAACTGGGCTAGTGGTACCAAAGACTGTATTGATGATTAAGTGATGTGACAACCTATAAGGAAACTAGTTTTTGCAGTTGAGAACACAGCCTTCCCTTGCAAAATTCTGCTAAACTCCCCTGTTCATACCAATATGCTACGGTATTAAAAGGTTTTAACATGCAAGGAATAAAACAAAATCTGATGATTTTGTCATTAGAATTATATATATCATATAAATTTAACCGATGACGGTTATTACATAAGACAATAAGAAAAGGAACAGGAGTAGGCCATTCTGCCCCTCAAGACTGCTCCGCCTGTCAATAGGATTGTGGTCAATCGACATTCTTCACATCCATTTCCTTACCCTTTCCATGATGCCCTTGATTCCCCTACTGATCAAGAATCCATCTATCTCAGCCTTAAATGTGCATGTGGACTCTGCCCCCAGAATTCTCTGTAGCAAGGCGTTTCAAAGACTCACAACTCTGAGCGAAGAAATTCCTTCTCATCTTAGTCTTATATTGATGCCCCTTTATTCTGAGACTAGGCCTTCTGGTCCTAGACTCTCCCATGAGTTGAATTGAATGATTTATTGTCACTTGCATTTTACAGTGAATAATACAATAAAATAGAACATAAGAACATAGAGTGAAAATCTTCAACTGTCACCATACTCCAACGGCATTTTGAATGGTTTAGGAATGAAAAGATATAACTGAGAGTCTATCTTCGTTCTGCTGCATCCACCCTGAGCTGGCTCACTAATGACACCTGTGCCTTCACCCTGACACCGCCTGCGCTGGATCCACCAATGTAGGAGTTGCCACTCTTGGGCACCATCTCAGGCTGATTGCTTGTTCACTTAGCACTCGTTCACACAGCACCTACCTACCTATATGCCCATGCCATCCATGCATCACCTTGCTTTCCTTCTGTGTCAATTAGCAACAACTGGGAAACTTTGCCTCACTGGTCAGCATTCCTCAGTCAAGGGGGCATGTACCTCACTCTACAGGTACTTGCTGTGTCAATCCCACACCCAGACCACGTGCCAGCAGTTTTTGCATAAGCATACAGTTGCCCAGGGGTGGATCACATCAGTCCTGTGACTTCATAGTGGTCAGTTCACAGGATATGACCAATACAGTTTGGGACATTTCTTGTCTGAGGTTATCCGTTAGTTTGCTCAAAGGAGGACAGCCGTGGTCAGTCCATTGGAAAGTGTTGGATTAAGTAGGAGCTATGGCTATGAGAAGATGTTTTAGCAACCTGTTCATGGAGTTGGGGGTCCACAGGCTGACGGTGGCATGGTGGCTCAGTGGTTAGCACTGCTGCCTAACACAGTCAGGGACCCAGGTTCGATTCCAGCCTCGGGTGACTGTCTGTGTGGAGTTTGCACATTCTCCTTGTGTCTGTGCGGGTTTCCTCCGGGTGCTCCAGTTTCCTCCCACAGTTCAAAGGTGTGCAGGTCAGTGGATTGGCCGTGTTAAATTGCCTATAGTGCCCAGGGATCTTTAGGTTAGGTGGGTTAGACATGGGAAATCAGGGGTAGGGAAATGGGTCTGGGTGGGATGCTTTTCAGAGGGGATGTGTGGACTTGGGCCGAATGGCCTGTTTCCACACTGTAGGGATTCTATGAAGGAAGCAAGGAAGACAATTGTGAATGGTGTCAATTGTATTTGCAAGGGGCAGGATGCAGTTAGGAATGGACGCAAACAGTGAATGCAAAAGAGGGCATTCATCCACCCTGGCTTCAAGTTGGGGCCAGTATATGACACACCTGACGAGGCTGCCTTATGATAGGAGCTGAGGTCGAAGGGAAACAGGCAGGTGAAGGCTCAAATAGATGGTTTGTTGGGGACTTGGGGATGTGTGAGACCTATGGGGTTCACAGGAAGGGTAATTAGGAAAGGGATCTGGCTGTCCTGGGAATCTCAAGCATGTAGAGGTGGGGGCTGGAAACCACTGGCTGAAGAGCACTTACTGCTGTCTTTGCATTGTGCTGGAAATTGAAAGCTGCAATCATAGCAGAGTGGGCAGGGTGTCTTGACCTGTGAAGGATGCTCTGCAAGACCCATCAATGTGAGGCCCTCTAGAGGGCAACAACATTATATATATACCTGTGCACTGTACAGGACACAGAGCTGTGGGCACTCTAATCCCTGGTGACCCTAATATGTTGGCTCGCGATGTCCTGTACACCTCCCTGTCCTACAAAACTTAGACCACTTCTTTCACTCCCAACACTTTTGCACACTGAGGCCAGTGAAAGAAAAGGAATGTTTGACCACCAGGGATAATGATGCCAGCAGAACCTGTTGCACTGTGTATACCTTACAGGCTATCAAGTCAGACCATGGTATATACTATGTGAACATGAAGTTATGCATAATGCTGGCACAGTTACATTTGGAGCTACAAGGAGAGTCACACAAATGCATGTAGTGCAAAACCAATCAAATTTATTCAAAAGTGATACTTTATATACAGTGCACTGTCACCAAAGTACCCTCAAAAGGTTTGTTTATTCTTTTCCCTCCCACTACGTCTTGATATTGAATCATGTTTTGCAGCTTGGATGGAAGGAGCCCTGCTTAGCAGTGAGCCTATGAACCTTGGACGTTTGGTCGGGCAACCCCAGAGGTTTTTGTGTCTGAACTCCCCAGTGTGTTGAGGAGTTGCAGATTGATCCTCCTCATCTTCAACTGAAAGGATTGGAGAGGGACAAGCAGAGTGGTGTAAGGCCTGACCAGCTCTGGAGTGTCAGAGAGGAGGGTTCTAAGGGGTCTGTGGGTGATTCCTCCAGTGACTGGGTGCCTCCTTGCATCTTTTGAGTACTTCTGAGGAAGAACCACATGAATGCACGTCAGATTCTCTGTCCTCCTGTCTCAATGCTGTTGGTCTTGAGGACCAGTGGCCAGGGTGATGGGATGCAAGTTTGTGCATCTCTCCAGCAGATTCTCAGACTGCTAATTCTGGCTCTTCAAGGCAGCCACCACTTGGAGGCAGCCAGGCAGTCGCATGCCTGAGACAGCTGGATGTCCACAGCATAACAGCACTCCTGCAGTCTCTGGTTGGCAGGGCACTGTTCTATTAGCATCCAAGCAGGAGCCATCCTGGACTTCTGTGAGGGACAGAATTCTCTCCACAGTGAATGAGGAGCCTAATGTCATGCACCGCTCCACTTTTCTGGGCCCTGTCTGCTCTACTGTGGACTATCTTCTGGAATGTGAGAAGGGGAGGGATTAAGTGAGATGGAAGTGGATGGCATGGCTGTTAGTGCTTGTGCAGGTAGTCAAAAGATGGTGAGGTGTCTTGGGCAATTGAGTAGGTATTGGAGATGTCATGCAGGTTAAGTAGTTGATGGTCAGGGAGCAACCACAATGAGGGAAGATGTTGAGGGCAAAGCATGAGCCTTAGTGGGAGGTGTTACAATAGCAGAGATAGAGGTAATGTGAGATAACAGAAGAATGTGGCACTGAAAGAGGGGAAGAGGTAATTAACCTTCTTGTGGCACTGTTAGCCTTTCCTTGAGACCATGGAGATTTCACTGAGCCAGGTGTTGACCTCAGACAGCCTATCAGGATCTGGCATTGTGGCATCCTCTGCCAGTCCTCTGGGAAGAGGACACCCCTCCTCAGTGTGACTTTAACAGGTGTATACTGTAGGGGAGACAATCTCTTAGTATTTACCCTACCAAGCATCTTAAGAATCCTATATGTTTCAATGAGATCACCGCTGATTCTTCTAAACTCCAGTGAATACAGTCTCAAACTGTTTAACTTTTGCTCGTAAGATCCCCTTTATACCTGGGATCATCTTAGTGAGCGTTCTCTGAACTGCCTCCAATGAAACAATATATTTCCTTAAATAAGGAGAGCAAAACTGCTCACAGTACTCCAGATGTGGTCTCACAGCACCTTGTACAGTTGTAGTAAGACTTCCTTACTCTTATACGCTAGCCCCCTTGAAATGAGAGCCAACGTTTCATTAGCCTTCCTGATTACATGCTGCATTTGTGTGCTAACTTTCTGTGTTTTGTACTCAAGTC